GTGCACATAGTATGTATTGGGGAAAGAAGGAGGGTAAAGGAGGGCAGAAAAGCAATTCCCGGCAATTTGGGGCAATATGCCGACCAACAAAGCGACCGCTGCCAGGGAGAGAGCTATGAGAGAATTTTCAAATTTCGATTTGAAAATGAAATGGATTGTGCAATGGATCGCTGAACAGCTCTTGAGTTCGACCTGTGGATGCAGCGGAAATTGAGAAAGGGATTTTCTTTAGTGAATATAAATACGAATAACAAGCAGGGAATTATTCACTATTTCCACTTCTCACGCCAGATATGAATGAAATACTGTAATCAGGAAATAAAAGGGTAAAAGGTTCGTTTGGGCAGTTTAAGATATCCACTAAAGAAATTCATGTTTTCTGTCCGTCTCTTGGTTTGTCTTCCAACGCCCTTTTGTACCCGCGTAACTATTTGATAGAGTACTGCTCACATGTCTGATGTGCTGCTATACTACCCCTACTTGATGTTGTTCAGAGGAGGGGTATCCGGATGGTCTAAGTATTGCCTCACACCGAAAAGCGGCGGCAAACTTGCCAGACTTGCATCCGATCCTTACTCTGTCGAAGTATTTACACCGAGTACAGATCTTATGTATTTAGGCTTCTGCATGCGCGGCTGCTTCAGTATAAAGAACTTAGATATCCAACTATAAAAAAAAACGGAAAAACAAGATACCCGTAAATCAGTGTTTCTCAACCTTTTATTTTATTAGTTGCGACCTAATTTTGAATCGCAGCTCTCATCCCCACCCTGTTAACCCCCTTTTAATTTTATATAATCATATTTCAAGCTTCACTACCACTTTGACTACACAGCTTTAAAATTACAAATTTATGTTGAAGTATGTTGCAATAAATATTAGCATCATAGTCTGTCAAGTATGGAATGAAACGTAACCTTTTTTAATTTTTTTTTTGAGAATCATTACCCTAACTCATTCATAACCGCCATTTAGAGTCTGCTTCGAAATAAAAAAATATTCTACAGAACCAAATTTGATTCTTTCTTATTTTGTCGCTGGACATACTATTTTTAATATCCAATTTGCCGAGTACCAAAAAGTATTTGACAAACTTCCTATCCCACACAAGCAATGATTGTTAAGCATCTTGCATTTTCATTGAAACTCTAACGACCAATCATCGGGCGTGGTGCCGTGTGATAAAAATCTCCCTCGTTCATAAAAACGGGCCTCGGCAAAGGTTGAATCAATGATTTCATCTATATGGCGAATGAATATCCATTTGCAGAATAATAGAAACGAATTTTCGACCCTATGCACAGAGAACTGACTACGATATGTGCCGTATGGGGTTTCAGGGGGAGGACAACTGCGATTTGCGGTAGAGCTCTATCATAACAATGAGGGAAATAGGAGATTTGATGATAGTTTAGATGGAAATGCGGAGAAACTTTAGATGTATTGACATAGAGAAATAGAATTGTAAAACTTGTGGTCACAGACAGTGCCCTATTTATTTTTTGAATGGATCTAGTTAGCGAGGTGACGAAGTCGATGCATATTTTAGCATATGCGGTAGTTAAATATGAGATCATGTCATATCTTGTTTTGAAGCTTCTTAATATTATTTCCCAACTCTTGAATATAAAATTACTTTATTTTTCTACTTTACTCTTTCAAAATGGCGGATCGGTAGCTGTCAAAGTTGAGCATTTTTGCACATTAAATCGCTCTCTCAACACGACAACAAATCATTAGAATATGCGACATAATGTGGAAGATTCCATTGAAAAAAAAAACGTTAAAATCTCAAACTGAATATTCCGCATTTTATTGTATATCCAAATTTACACTACCAAAAGAAGAATACTCACGACGTTTTGAAGATTACATGCTCCAAACATGGTAAATCTAAATTCTAGTGCTAAAAAGTGCTGATATATAAGTACTAAACGTTGGTGGTTACTTATTCACATATAGAGAAAATTGTCAGTAAGGAATTGTCTGTCATTCGCATACACAAGATAAAATGCAACCGGAACAAAACATTCTTTTATACATCCTCTGTAGGGGAGTAAGGGAGATCGAGCTAGCGTGCGATCTGCGCATGCGTGCAGTTTCGGACTTGGTCTTTGTTGGTTCGCTCATTCGGCACAGCACATCGGAGGCAGATACCTTTTCAAGGTAGTTCATTCTCACCTTATTCATTCCTTATACATGTGTAGGTACTAATGAGTCCAATACACGCGAATTACTGTTTATAATATTCATATAATATATTATATGATAACCGTGATTCAAAACAAAATGATAAAAAAATAAATTTCAATCTATGTATTTATTTTACAGAACAAAATTTTGTAAACAGCGAAGCTTAGAATTTACAGTTGATAAAGAAGGAAGTTAATGCGATCAAAGGATTTGTAATTATAGTCTTATTGATTAAAACAAAAATAACGAATATGAATTGAAAAAAAAACTAATTGATAAGGCGAACTGAAAAATGAAAAATAAATGATAGTTTAAAAAACTCAAAAACACGCTTTTGTCTATAGCTAACAGAACTAAAAGGTGGAAAATAATTTTTAATTACAAAGAGTTTATATTACAGTAGTAGATAGTCGACCAATCAGTCATGAGTAATGATCTCAAAATAAAATTATAATGATTTCGAAGTTTGATTTGATTGATCTAGATAAAGCAACTGATCAATAAGATCACCGCATGCTAGCCATAGATCACGTTAATGACATGGAGTTTGGTTTAGGCGAAATGACCAAACTTTATTTCGTTAAGGCTTTCACGGTGCGGACCTTGGGTTAAAATTCAAGATTTCTCACAGTCTGAACTTAACCCTTTATATGGATAGAATAACGATAAAAGCTCAACATTTAATTTTACAAAAACGGAAGCATTATTAAAATGTATCTCTAACGGAAAAATTATCATGTAAATAACTCTGCCATATTCATAGTTCGTGTAGAATTTTTAATATGAAAATATGCAGAAAAACATCTAAGTGGTATCTGACCATCTTCAATTACAGAAGTGTTCGCTCTGTTACATAAATTAATAAACTAATTAATGACGATATAATTAAATAAAAAGGATCGACGTAAAAGTTTTAATAATTCATTCGTCATGTCTGGAAGAAACGCGAATTTTATCGGGGTGCAAAGGAGGCAAAAATAAATATTCATGTGAGACAGTGGCGGGGATGACAGTAAAAACGTCTTGAATAAGAAGTATAAACTGACTGGCAGAGTCAAGTTGAAGAACAACAACCCTCAAACAATTTCAACTCAGATCTCAGTGGCTTTTGGTCACAGACGCACAAACTGTGCTACGTAATAGCAATCCGTAATAGAAATACGACAGTGCAAGTGCCATCTACTATCAGGTCCCGGTCCAACTGACATAGTGATTTACAGTCCCAAGATCTGCCATTCATGTTCCCACCAGCTGATTCTGGTAGCAGGTGGGCATGTTCTTTTTAATCCGCTTGATCCGTTGTTTGACCTGGACCATGCTGATGGTTGCCAATAAGCACGAAACCGTGCATGGTCGGTTAGACAGATAAAATCAGTATAATTATTGTTGCCTACTTTGCCGTAGCATGTTTGTTTGGCATCCAGTTAGACCAGTGGCGACGCGTGACTTTTCCTAAACTGTTGTTACCAAAACCAAATGTGAAAAATCTTATTAAAAAAAAATTATTTTGAACTTCCCAAATATAACTTTTTGATTATTTTGGGTATTTTATTTAAACTATTTTTAAATTAAGGTAAACCCTGGACTGATCGTCTAGGGCACTTGATATATCTCATCGTCTTATGCTATGACTAATCCAAGCCGTCCGAAAAAACGGTCGACCTTTCTAGATGTTCGGAAAATTTTTGATCATTTTGGGCAATGATTGTTAACAATTCCCTGTAATTTCCTCTATTGTCACAGTCATCCCCTTCAAAATGAACGGTAATTCCTGTTTTTCCAAAAAACATACGGTATCTAGAAGTGTACTCCCTAAAAGCTTGGTCAAAACAACTTTCGATTCTTGGTTTGCCAAACTGAGTTAAATTGGCTAGACATCTCACATGTAACGGAGAAATTTCTTGTCTCCTCTTCAGAGCCCTAAAACTATTTAAATCGTTTACTCCGCTGCCAACAATACAATTTGTTTTGTTGCAACCACATAACCAAGAATTTCCATATACCAACTTAATTTAAAATATCAAACTACATTTTTTTATTCCTTTTAAAATTATCTAAAATAGGTGTTGATCTTCCATTTTCAATGATCTCATTTTTTTATTAAAAATTATTCAAGGAGAATGAGTTTTCAAGTAGTTGATCGATTACGCAACGACACTCATCCATGTTTAATTGCACGCACACTACAGCCGGTAACCAAAACGGCTACTAACGAGTGAGAAGTGAGTAACCAAATCAAAACCTGGTAACAAGCCCACATAATAGTAGCAGCGCCCCACGCACTCGGGCGACCGCGATAATACACGAGCCGGTTACGATGGTCCCCGATGGACTACCAAGTGTATCCATAAATGAAAATGGTAACAACCGACAACCAAGTCGAGGCGAGCCAGTTTCATGTGTTCACAAAACCTAGACACTATAGGGCACATTATTTTCGTGGGGCTAATTTGCTATTTACTGAATTACTATTACATATCGCTGTTGGTAAACAAATACATGAACTTATTTCACAGTACTTAGTCATAAAATATTTATTTTTAAGATGTTTAACTGTTACCAATGGTTACAATGGTTACATGGACGCTTCCCCGCTGAGTTAGACTGCGACACAAATCTAGAGGCAGCACCCAAGGAGCCTCCTAAAGAGTTAATGAGAGAATTTTAATATATGAATATCAGAAGTATTAAGAGCACTAGATGTGATGCTGTATTCTGTTTTTTAAGGATATTATGTTTTGTGAATAGCCTTAATCCACGCCAATGTAGGTATGACCGACAATCGGTATACAATTAAGAACTATATGATGATTATTGTAGCACTGCCCGCTATGGTTAGTACTCATGCAAATTATTAATGGAATCGCGTTTTTGCATTAAATATGAATAATTAATTCGTACTTATATAGGGTGTCCGAAAAAGCAGTGAAAATCGGAAGCCCAGAGGTAGATCACCATATGGGAAGCCCGAATCACCCCCATATATTTGATCAGTTGTTGTTTAAGAGCTATGGTTAATAGCTAATGAAGTACAGATGTTTCTGAGATATTAGTGAATCGCAGAAATATTCTTTTCCTTTTTTTACCGTTCGAAGTTTTTCACTTTTGTGTTATGTCTCACTTATTTAAGAAGTTATGAAAAGTTTTTTCGTTTCCGACAACACTTTCGATTGAATCTCAAAAAACACGTTTTCTCATTCTAATGTGTCAAATAAAGATTTTTCTCACAAAAATTGGTGTACCCATTTTATGCATCCAAGTTTTAAATACCCCCTTGAACAAGTTGCACCAATACAACCAGACTTTACAGTTATTTTGGGGAAATTTTGCTAATATGATTAAGACTATACATACGAGTAGAAGTGATTCGGACGCCCCATAGGGTGCTCTGAGTTTCCAGATTATCACCACCTTTTGAGACACCCTCCATGTAAGTAATAATATAATTCATATTTTCGCATCAGATTGTACAATTACGAGAGAGCTTTTACCTCAATGTATCCAACTGCTTATAAATCAAGTAGTAGACTTGAATTTCAGCTCTATTTAAGTTTTGCGTACAGCATTTCGCTTATTTTGGTCAAAAGCCTAATTTTGAGGCTACCACACGAATTGCAGTATTATTTTCTTAGTTAAACTGTTATAAGTATATGTGTATCATATCCATTAAAGCGCGGAACAGGCGAAAATTTTTAAATAAACAGTATATTCACAAAACTCCGAAAACTAGAAATTGTTACATTTTTAAAGAGGACTCAACTCTTATTGTGAGTAACAAAAAGTACTGAACATTTATAAAATTTATTTCAAAGGCGTCCATTACCTTCATGGCTGGTAGACGCCGCTCGGTATAAAGTAGACTGTTTATTAGCAGAACCATTCCAAAACAGGATGGAAATGATGAATAAGCATATAATATAGCATCGATAAATAGAGATAAATCAAGTCCTTTTGCGACAGCTTCTGCTTCTTTTATTTTAAAATTGTAATCTCTACGTTTGCTGCCACAGCACATGAGACTATTTCGCCAATAAAATAATTATAATTCCTCCTCAATAGTTTCTTGACATGATACGCTTCGGGGAAAAATAAGGAACAAATAATAAATAAATCACTTTTTGTTTGTACTTCAGTTATTGCAGTTCAGTTTAATTATTTATCTTCATAATATGGTAAGCAATGGTTCTTTAAAACATGGAAATTGATTTCGAATCCTTGAAACATGGTTATCAAATATCTATTATATGTCTTGATAATCTTCTATATCTATCATTTGCGATCAGTAAAGAGTTGGTATACGTAATCTGACAACACTGGTGATGGTTTGAAGGCTTGCGAAAGACGTTAATTTGATGAGCAAAACTGAAAGTAATCATTCGAAAGGTCTTTAACTACTCTTCTGTTCTGCAACCATAACTAACGTATTCATTAACTTATTCAGGAAGAATATATTATTAGTATATTTACAAAGCATATATTTTATAAATATGAATGAATGAATGTCATTTATAATCCAAGAATATATTTTATACATTCAAATATCCAGCGCATTGTTTGTCATTAACATAATTGGTATACTCGTACTTTTTATTACAAAGATATAAGTTAAAAAAATATAACGGCATCATTTGGTTGATGTTTCTATGAAGAAACAGTTTAGTTTTACGACTACATTAATCATTTTTGTGTGTTGTGTGAAACGAGAAAACAGGTGAATAAATAAATAACCTTGTTATACTCCGAAAGCCTAGCGGCATTCGGTTCTGCATGGTATCAAAGAAACCGCCTCATTTTAATTCTCTCATTGTTTACAGAAAATCGCCACATTCATCTCGAAAGACAACTGACGGATCAAAGTCACCGTGATACGTTCTCAAAATTTGCATACAAAATATTTCATTTCTAGGTGTACCTCACGATAGGCAGGATGGAGTCGCTAACGCAAGGAATTCTAAGGTTCAAACCTCATGGAGCTGCTAGTATAGCTAACACAAGTTTCTTCTTGTGGACTCCTTTGAATTTAGTGGCAATCAAGTACCTGATTGTAACTGCTAAGTAAAATATGAAGTAAAGTATCAAAGCTGGCGCGCAACTGGTGTCGTGATAATTAAAATCACAAACTTGATGGGATCAGGAGGTTCAACCTACTAGTTGAACTCAAAATCAGTTCAGTTTTGAGTGCCAAATGTCAGTACTTTAGAAGCCGGAATGCCGGAAAGATGCAAGTATTGACCTTGACCCATAAGGTAATTACAACACATTTTATCGTCCAGTAAGTAGACCATGGCCATGAATAGGGACTCGCTACAGGTTTCTTCTGTTTTGTTTTCATAAGTGGCGGATTTTCTTTCTAACACATCATGGCGACAGAGGCATATTAACTATAAGTTATGGCTATAGGAACTGAGCGTTGCGATTTTTTGGTATCCTTTGGTATTGGAATATCCAGGCGCTGTCCTTCTTTGACATCACTTACGTTTACAGCACGACGATCACAATTTATACGTATGTGTGACTTGTGACAAATCTAAGTCTGAGTAATACATTAAGTATACAGATTGCACTTGAAAAGTGATTTATGTTCTGTATGTTGCTCAATAGTAATTTGAAAAGTGTGTAAAGCTTGACTGATTTTGTTCGGGGTTGGTGTGGCAGACAAGCACTATTTTAGAGGAACGCCTAAATTGGAAATATACATTTATGGGATTTATTTACCGCCTGAGGCCTGTCCAGAAAATGCATCGATCGATGGTCAAAAAAATACCACACGTTCTGCATCTCTTCTCGCGTATGTATCTATTCATGTTGCTATATTGAATTCATCTAAGTCACAAAGCTTCTGCACTACACGTGAATATGAACAGGCCTGTATTTCTGAACTTGTTTTGTACAAACATACATTATCAAAATAATTACGATCTAACATATATAGTTTTTTTCAAAGATTTCGAACATTTTTACATGCGATCAACACCGATTCGAAACTGAAAAAGCAACAACTATGCCGTAAATCTAAGTTCGACATCGTCTGAAGAAGAAAAAGAACTGTTTACCACTTGCTGATGTAACATAAGTGCTCGATTGTGTCATTATTTGCACCAATTAGGTACTTGATTTGTTTAATGGGCGGTTCAGAGTCTTAATCATTAAGCTTAGTACACACTAGTAGACCCCGTTGCGCAATTTGTCTATAGGGAGTCTGGAGATGATCTATGGACATACTCCTTTGTCTCGCCTAGCGTCCATACGATAATGTGAATTTTTTGGTCTCATGTTCGTTTACGCAATCAAAGACATTGTTTTGGGTGGAATGGACTGGGTTATGTCTCGCGATCCCTCAGAACGTTTTTTTTTTGTTTTTTTTCGGTCAATGGAGCAATTAAGTTTTTTATGTTTACGTACTTATTTTGTTCTCATATAATAAAATATTGCCTTTCTGGGGCGTTCTGATCATTACCCATGGTTTTTTTCAAGCTGGCATTGACCAGTTGGAACACAATAGATTTAAGGAGCAACGATAGGATACATTCTAGAAGTTCCACTTAGGTTGAAAAATTACCAGCCCCAAATATCGTTTGCGCCGCCCCTAGACGAAATCCAAAATCCACCCTTGGTTTTCATTAGGATTATAGAATTTACATAAATATTTCTGTTGGGTCAAGTTAAAAAACGCTTTTTTAGCGACACTTCGCCCTTTTTATACTTTGTATAAATAAAGCCGGATAATTATAATATACTATTATTATTTTTTAGTTTTTACTGTTCTAGAAGGTACTATGCCGTGCACCTTATCAGTCGGTCTCCGCCTGACCAACAAAAGCACCGGCGTGGTGCCGACGTGTAGACAAGGCGCGATGGGACACGTGTAGTACATCACAGAAACTGGTCTGCAGCTCTCTCGGCATCTCTCTTCGGCCACATCTACATGAGATACTATGTATACATACATAATGAATGTTTATAAATCCCAGGATGATTTTATTATCTGTCCGCGAATGGGCTCCCCGCCAGTCTACGGGGGGCCACAGATTATCATTAGCACCGTCCAAGTATAACCAGACCGACACTGCTTTGTTGCCAGATTGTTGATGCAGTAATGTATCTTGCTATAGATTATTCATTTTGGTAAATGTTTATCCATGTAAGACATCAAAGAGTTGGACAACTTTCTGTAATTTCCAACTACACAAAACTAGAGGAAGTATACGCGCTGCTCTATGCTTGGTTCTAAATCTATTCAGTACCCACATAGTACAAGCGGCCACGCAGACAGGAGCCTAATTGCCAGGGCACCACGGCTGTTGTGAGGATCGCAAATAAACTTTGTTAATCCGATTTTGAACTGCCCAAGGTTAGTAGAACTGGGAAAAGCCTCCTTTGGTAGACTGTTCCACAATCTCGACATCCTAAGGACAAAGGCGCGGTCGTGTAGGCTAGTACTGGATGTACGAAGTTCGACACGGTTAGGATGGGAGGCGCAAAGTCCATTGGTGTAGCGGTAGGAAACGGCTAGATCGCCGAAGGCCTGTCGGTGCGAAAGGGTCCCGAGACTGTCTGTTAGAGAAGAGTGATCGATCACTCGGACAGCCCTCATCTGAACAGCATCGAGCATGGATAAAGTGTAGTCGGGGCGGCAGCACTCCAAACATGTGAGCAATACTTCAGGCTAGGTCTCATCTGGGCTTTGTGTAAAGTGAGGGCTTGTGTGTATCTACTTTTGTAGTTCCATATGTGCATTCATTTCGGACCTGATGGAGTCAACAAGCAGAAATACGTGTCGCTCGGGTTACCTATCCTATTTTCTGCTCGAATCCACTTTTCTTCTTTTTGCGAATTTTGTCCATTATTTTTTCTATGTATTTGTAGGTCGTTTGGGCTTGAAATACCACGGTAAGTGGCTGTGGTTGTGGTTAAATTTTGCTTTGTAAATTCGAGGTCTTCTGGCCATTACACTACAATGTGTGAGTTGACTCTTGCTGGTGACTTCGTGTGTCGTTTTGTTCCCTCTCCATCTTCGTTTCCTGAGGTTACACCCGTATCCCGCTGTACGGGCATGTGTTTCTACTTTTGTAGTTGCATATGTGGATGCAGTTCGGGCCTGATGAACCCAATAAGCAGAAATACGTTTTGCTCGGGTTACCTATCCTAATTTCTGCTCGAATCCACTTTCCTTCTTTACGTGTGGAGAAAAGTACTGCTTAGCCCTAAAGAAATAGCCTAGCTGTTTGAGGTGTGTTCGTGCCGGAACAATTCCTCGGTGATCTGGAGTCCGACCAGCCGAAATGACTGGCTTTTGGCAGAGCTCGGCCATCCATCGAAACCGGAAACTGTACAAGATCGTTGCGTCTTCACGCAGTGATAACCTCCAGGTCTCTCGCCTGAGAAGTCGCTGTTTCTGATACATCTTTGTCCAAGAGTATATTCCATATAATTTTACTATGTTTTAACAGCTACCTAAATACGGTAGGCAAGATAGAGTACACGAAAGTAAATGAACTTTACTGCCTTTTACCTAAGTACTTCAGTATATGTATTTTGTGAATCTGACATTGCCATATACAGCTTGTTAGAGTAGCCATTAGCTTGGAGCTATTGTTTGGCAACGTTGAGGTATCCCAACGGGCCCCGTCCTAATCATTAGCAGATCCACAGGTAGTATCAAACATCCACTGAAGAGATCAGATTAATTGAGGCTAGAAAGCGGCACTTTGTTTGCATTCGATTCAAAAGAGAAGAAAACAAAAAGAGAAAGACGGATTGAATAACAAATAACCATCAAGACAAGAGGCTCGGGCTCACACACGAAATAACGAAACGCCAAGGTAGATGGTTTTTGTGAATGGCATTCCTAACTTGGGCTACCGCGCATATGTGTAAGCCGCGTTCGGAGAATCTCGTCGTGAGGACAGAAAAAATAACGGGGGATTCTCGGACATGGAATGTGCGGATTTGCATTGTTGGTGTCTGTCTACTGAGCAGACGAGACGAACCTTGGCCAGAAACTGGTTCATTTTTGTCATGGCATCCACTATATTATACATGCTTTTAGCGACTTTTATCTTCAGTTTCTCAAGATTTTTTTTATTTGGCAGCCTTCTCAGATGTGGAGCAGGCATTTGTAAAGTGTGGCATCAAGGAGAGCAAAGTACCTCGAGCTGCTGAAATCGTACCTGAGTGACCGTTACTTCAAACTAATGTGAGTAAACAATGATACTTCGGACTACTTTACTATGAAATCAGGAATTCCGCAGTGCACCATATTGGGTCCCTTACATAGCCGATACACCCACAACAAGTGAGACAACAGTTGGCATATTTGCAGACGATACGGCGATTCTAGCAACTGATGATTCTATCCTTGCTTCGCATAAGCTCCAAACGCACCTAGACAATATAGGGAGATAGCTGAACAAATGGAAGCTCAAGGTTAACGAAACCAAGTCCAAGCACATCACTTTCACACATCAAATCACAATACATCAACGTAGAAATGTAAAATACCTGGGATTGCGCATGGATGACAATCTGAAATGGAAGCAACATATATCGAAGAAAAGAAAACAAATGGATTTAAAAAATCAGGATGATTTACCAAGCCGTTATCAAGCTGAAAAGACAAACATTTCAATTATCCAACGACCCAACTCAAAGAGCCTTAGAGGCATTGCAGACGCACCTTGGTTTGTCTTAAAGAAAACACTCCATAGAGACCTGCAAGTCCCAAGCGTGAAAGTAAGAAGTTGCAAGTACCATGCTAGACTTAGCAATAATTTCGAAATCCTCTGCTTCCATCGCTTTAGACCCCGTCGACACCAGGAGACTGAACCACTGGATGTCTACTTCTTCCCATCGCATCGTCGAGTGAACAAGGATGTAAAATATTGTACCAGCCAGCAAATTAGCTTATAGAATGTATATACGTACATATTCTGATTGCTAATAAAGTAGAGTAGAAAAAAATCTTGTTAAATGTGATGAAAGACAATACATAAAAAAACATCGTTTTGTGAAGTACTCTAAATATGAACTTTTCTAACATTTTTAGTTGGCCTTTTCCAA